TTTGCTAAAGAAATGTATTTTGTCCATTAAAACCATTGAAGTGGGAGAAAAGCCAGCACGTATTTAGTTGATCAGTAGACTGAAACCTCTAAGTGCTCTCAAATAATGGCTCTTTGCTGCGCTGTTGACTGCGAGATTACAGCAATATGCATTCAGTAATTATTTTTCATGATAAGTAATGGGCTTTGTGAAAAAGGGGGTATACAATAGTAAGGCCACATATTTGTTTTAACCTTTTAATTGTTTTTGGAATTAATCTGAATGCAGATCACTCTGGCAGTGAAGTCATTTTAATGAATAATGTGGAAGTACAATGATTTCTAAGTTCCCTGTGAGACCCGATAGGAAATAACCATTTTGGAATGTATTCAAGGGGCCAGCTAAAATAGAGGCCATCTTAAACTCAATATAATTCTATTTAGAAATTACCTTTGACTCTCTTCTGTACCTCATGAACTACAGGGTCTATTTTTAAGGCATTTGTATGTTGTTGCACTTGGTACCATAGTCTCAGGGGTTTCAGATGTCTTATAGCAAAGGGGTGAATAGGAAAGTTTCTTCCTGTAGTATTGCTATGAAGACTAAAAGATGTGAGTTAAAATATGGGGATACACAGTAAATATTAACAAAATCATTACTGACCTTAATCCTTTAACTTTTTTGATTATTGTGACTCTCGACCTATTTGTTTGCTATGCTAAGCAATAGTATGCATAGAGGTTTAACTGTGTTCAATTTTGCTCCCTTTCTCATGTCTCTGCAGCATCTTCAAGATAGCAGTCATGCAAAAAAATGACTTTTCTCTAATTTTTCTTTACCTTCCTTCATCCCTCCTTTGCTAATTGGCTGGAAGTATTTTTTTTGTATTTCCTATTGGCTGATTTCAGCCAATAAAGAAAAAAATAACCCAGCTAATAGGGAAAGAGGGGATAATGTAATTGTATCCAAGTAGACCAAACAGAGACAAAGTGAAAATAAGACTTTTGAAGGTAAAGTAGATTTTTACAAAATGGTTTCATGGCTGCGATCTAGGAATTGCTAGAGACATCATGCAATAAATAGTTTACAAACAGCCTCTATACACTGTAGTCTGTATTGGTAAATGGGATAACAAGAAGAATGGCATAGATCACTTTAACATAGTCTAAAAAAATCATTTGCTGAATTTTAGTCCACTTCAGGGTCTCAGTTCTTCTGATCCTAACAAGCATAGAACAAAAAGCAGAAGCTTAACCAGATATGGGGATGGGGATATGCCACAAGAAAGCAAGAGTTAATCTTTGTAAGCTGCCTTGGGTCAAAGACTGCATGGAAAGGCCAGTAATCCATAGCAACCAATAAAAAAAACTTGTAATGCCTGCTTTAACCTGCTGAGAGGTAAAACTTGATGGGTTACTGCACTGCCCACATTGTCAAACATAATGGATTTTCCTGGCATTTGTTTTTCTCTTGCAGTGAGTAAACTTTACTATACAACAAGAACTGCAGACCTTGCATGTGAGACCCATGACAAATTACCATCTTGCGGGGTCATCACCGAATCCTAATTCGCCCAACCCCAAGTCTTCCAAGTTAGTTTTAAAAGAATTTATTGAAATCCCAACAAAAGTATGTTCTGAGAATGTAAATCTATTTCAGTAAAGTTAAAGAAGAACTCGAGGCAAATAAAATCTTAACCCTTGCAGTGGGGCTTCCTGTTATTTTAGCATCCTACACAAAACAAGCACTTAACCCTTGCAGTACAGGGGTAGCCCCACTGCAGGGTTAATGATTTTATTTGCCTGGAGTTCTTCTTTAAATGCAACTCTGCTTAAAATAATACATTAAAAGATTTTAGCTTCCAGCCCTGTAATATTTGAGTGGGGATCCTGGTTACATGTATATATTTAGCTAAAATGTTATCCATGGGAATCAGTAGCTTTAAAAATAGTGGAGCAATCAAAGAGAATCTATTTTTAAGACAGACAAGGCAATCACAGCTCATGAGAAAGCTAATCAGAGAGAGGAGTAGGGCTGAAGGGAGAGAAGGGGGAATCCAATGATATCTGGAGGACATAGAATTCTTGCTGTAGCCTGTATATGTCTCTGAAAAGATTTGATCCAGACTCAAAGTGGAGGTGGAATAAGATAAGAACTTCTGATTAGTACTGTCTGGATTTCTACAAATAAAATGAAGGATAGTTGGCACAGTATGTACCAGGATTATCCTGTCGACAATATATAGTAAATTTCAACTAAAAAAAATGGGATCTTTATAGAATATGGAGAAAATAAGCATCTAAAAATTAAATTCTGACATATTTGAAGACAGTGATGTCCTGCTGGCAACTCTCTTGTCCTATCTCTGTTGCTCATCTGGCTTCATATAGCAGCCTAGGGCACAAACATGTGGATATAAATGGAAAACCAAATAACAAATACAACTTTGTGCTGGTTAATTTGTCACTGTGTTCTTAAGGGTTATCACCACTGTGAGGCATGAATGCTACTGATGCCTATTAAGCATTCTGCTGAATGATAAGACTGTTATATGTAACATTTATTGTATTATTCTAAGCAAATTTTATTTAAATATATAATTTAAATGTAATTTTACTTTAAATTGTACTGTACAGCTTTATGAAGATGTTGAAAGTCCTATGTAAGACCTGTAAAATCTGGAGGCTTGCTCAATATTACTATAATGTTTGGGTGCCTAAAAAGATCATATAGGCATGTCCTTTGTAACGGAAGCATATATAGCTGGCAATACTGAAAAATGTATCTCCGACTGTATTTTGTAAGGCAGCAAACTGTAGGAAAGTAAGTTGTGAAAGTAGAGTCTGCAAAGGTAATGTCTGTGTTTTAAATTAAGTATCTCTGGGTCTCAACAGCCCCTTATGGGCCACATTTATTAAAACCTGTTTTTAAATATTACTATTTTTTAAATTGATCTTTCTTTGTTTTAAATAAGTAGCAGCGTAATTTAACATACAGTTTGATAGATAAATGATCATCTTTTATTCTGGATCGCAGGCCTACTTTGACGACCTATCCAGTTATAGAAGCATGGGTGAAGGTGTATTTGATAGGGAGCTTGATAATGAAGCAACACTGTCTGTGCATATGTTTTAAAGGGATTTTCTGCTCATTTGGCAGTGTTCAAACAGGCCATGACCTGCGTAAGATGCTATAGCGTAGTCCTGAACATTCAAACTTGGCATGAAATCATACCAATTGCTATGCTTGACATAGAGCAATGTCATTTCTATATCAGACAGATAGTCTGTTTAATTCTAGCTACAACTGGACTAAAACATCAAGCATATCCTCTGCCAAAGAACTGCTCACAGGGCCTGCAAACTATAAACTAGACCAACACTATTTTAAGAGACTGCTAGTTAAAAAAAATGCAAAATTAACACACTAACAAGATCTATTTGAGCATTATGCAGACACATCACAATTGCAGGATTTCAGAATATTGTAAATGCTTAAACTATAACATAAAAAATATATATTGCTGGAAAACACAGGGGTGTTTTCCATAAGGCAAAGAGCAATGTACAAATTACAGTTACCCAAGGCAACCTGTCAGAAATCATCTTTCCCTTTAACGATTAGAGTAAACTGAAATCTGATTGGTTGCGATCGATTCACCACCTTTTACATATAATTACTGCTTTTTTGTGATGTCTTCCTGAAATTGCCCAACTGTTTAACATGCTTCTACATGAATGTTAACTCACATTGATGAAATATTTGGAGCAATTGTCTAATAGATAGGCAAATATATTATCAATGAACCATGCTCTAAAATAGTTCTACTGTGTCTCCTAGTGTCTACTGTGCAGAATTAATAAATATAATTTTGAAGGAAGGGTTTCTACAGGTGCTTGACATCACTTAAAGCTGATACCTGATTTATTGGCAACTTCCTTGGCTGGGGATTTCCAAACACCCATCACCCCTCATCATTCATAAATAAGTACATGTACTAATTAATTAGCATTTGCTTACATTTTCTAGGTATAAACAATGCTATGTTTTCAAAAGTAGCTGTTTGACTTTAAAACTCATGAGGAAAATAATGATAATTCTCCTAAAAAAAAATATGTTATTTAACTGGAGCATTCTTGAGACCACATAGGAGCTGGTGGACCCTGGTTTAGCTCTCCCATAACTAAATATAACAGCTCATTAGGTTTAGATGATGTCGGTTTGCATATATTTTTCTGTTCATTTTCACCAGCATGTTTAAAAAATATATACATAATTCATGAGCTCAGTGGCTAAAAAATACCCCTATAGAATATATTTGGTCCTATTTGCCGTTTGGAGCAGATTTTTTAATCTTTTATTACTATCAGACACCAATGTCATGCATAACTAAAACTGACTAAAGTGCAAACGTATAGTCACAAACAGGCTTGGTACAGCCACAATCAGTGCAACTTTCTGTTTGTATTAATAAATCTATAATGAAATTTGGCAGTTGGTTATACCTGTGGGCAGTACATCATATATCAGTTAGCAAAGGCATTCTAACAACAACCAACTTTAAACTCCTGATTTCTGCTGTATATTGAGATGCACTGGATCTTATAGATGGTAATCCTTGGAAGGCACCTGCTTACATTTATAATAGCAGGGATTGCAAAGTGCTGCTAATAAAACTACTCCACATCTACTAACATGTATAACGGTCATACAGGTTATGAGCAATCATTTTGTAGTTGGTATAGAATCTAATGCATTGACCAAGAGTTCTTCTCCTTTGTACTGCAGGTGGTCATAGTACTAAGTCCAAGTACAGAGCACCTTCAAAATGTGGACATGTGATGTAGCTTGCAAGAAATACATCCAAAATCTGGACTAGTTTGCTGTATTAAAGTATCTAGGACTCCTGTATGCAGTCTTAGCAGTCTCAAAGTTATCTAATAAAAGATAATTTTTATGAAAATTGTCTTTATTGGAAAGGCTGTTTTCATTCAAATGTTCATAGAATTATTTAATCTGCAACTCCTTGCCGTTTGTGCTTTGTTGTCAGATGTAACTGTGCAATCTTTGGGATAAAAAGGCCAAGTTATCATCTGATGGAAGTACTGAATATCATGCCCATCTGAATCTGCAGCAAACACTTGATTTGTAACAAAAAACGTCATTGAGGTCCAGCCATTGCTTTATGATTCTATATTGAAGGCTCTTAAGAGAATATCCAGATCTCCCACATTGGCAGCATGAAATAGTTCTGGCTGGTCCATCATTGAAAGGGCTATTCTGAGTGCAGCCCATATGTTGCCTGAGATGACTGGGTGATGAGACTGCAGCTGAGTCCTGCTTTTTCGCTGCAGGCTTAGAGCTGTAAGGAAGTTACTAACAGCTTCTCTGCAAAGACAGCATATCAAAAGGAAAACATGTATCAAAGTCAAAGCCACATTAATATGCTAATTTGAAACTTCTGAATTAAAAGAATGCACATTTTAAAAAGCACTGTTAACTAAATACATTCTTTTCCATCATCATTTTTACCAAGGAACACAACAATGCTTTTTTGCTAGATATGGCAGTCTTCAAAAATTACAGCCACACCACACATTTAAACTTTAAAACTTTACAGCTTCCCAATTATTCTACACAGCTAAGATGTTAAAGGGACATGATAGTAAAATAAACTAGTTATTAAAGTGACAATAAACTCAGGAGATACATTTTAACCATAACTAAACAAATGTGTATCACTCAGCTGTAGATCCTCAAATCATCTCTGAATTCATGCTGACACTGTCCTTCCTTCTGGAGGGTGGCCACTTTTGTTCCCCATGGTCCCTGTGTGTGTAGCAAAGTAGCCACTGCTCCAAGCTCGCTCCCGTAATGGACTACAATCTCACATTTAGTTTACTAATTTGTATTGAAATTATAGTCTATCACGGATGTCATCTTGAAGTTGTGGCTACTTTACAACACACACAGGGACCATGGAAAAAAGCAGACACCTTCCAGAAGGAAGGACAATGTCAGCATGAATTCAGAGATGATTTGAGGATCTACAGCAGAGTGAAACACAAATAAGCTACATTTATGTTAGTAGTTAAGGTACTTAAATGCATTGTTAGGTTTTAACTCCTGATTTAGTATCACTTTAAGTAAGATTGCGAGGTACATGCCTAACTCACACAATAGATCTTCTATTGTTTACGCTGAGTATTGTGAATGGCCATCTCATTGATCAAGCTGAATCAGTGCTACCATGTATCAAAGCACTCCCAAAAGAAAGAGGGGGGCTGAGGAACATCCAAATATGTGAGAAGCAGTAAAGGTGCCACACTAATGACCATAGGGTCTGAAACAGTCTTTTATTGAATAATAATAATGAACATCAGGGCTTATACAGTATATTATGTTACATGACCTCAAAAGCAACTGGACACAGTGGAAGTTAGGTGATGCTTGTATACATAAAGTTGGATAGTAACAATAGCAAGCCCTGATGAAGTGGAAGTGTTTAACCCACAAAATGTGCAGCTCTCTGATTTAACTAATTATGTAATAACAGACTGTTTAGGACTCTATGGCCATTGCTATGGCACCCTCATTGCTCTTCGCATTGAGTAAGATTTGTATGTAACTTTAAAAAACAACACAAAAGATCTGGCTTTGAATGTAGCTATGTAAAGTATGATTCTTAATATTCACAACTCCAAATATCTAAATTACCTAAAGCCCTTTTTTTTGTTTTAGATAGAATTAGGAAGGGAAAAAAAGCTTTGTTTTATCGTTGACTGTATCTCTGCTGTGGGGATTTCTCCTCACTTCCAGTTCCAGTAACAAATGTAACATTTCAGATCATTCCCTACTTGCTGTCTTAACCACTTCAAGACCAGGTGTTTTAGACCCCCTTCCTGGCCAGGCCATTTTTCAGTGTTCAGCGCTGCGATACTTTGATTGACGTTTATTCCGTCATGCAACGCTGTACTGAAATGAATTTTATACCATTTTTTAGGGACAGATAGAGCTTTCTTTTGGTGGTATTTAATCACCACTGGGGGTTTTATTTTTTATTATAATTAGGAAAAATTACAGAAAATTTTGAAAATTATGTTAGGAAACATTTATTATTAACCAGTTTTTTGGTAAAATATAAAAGATCGGGTCACGTCGGGTAAATAGACACCAAACATGTCAAGCTTTAAAATTGCGCGCACCCGCAAATCGCAGAAAACTACCATACCCAAAATTGGCCATAGGCGACACTTTAAAAGCTTTTACCGCTCATCAGTTTAGTGTTATCAGTGATTGATGGCCCTAGACTTATTGCTCTCACTCGGACGTTCGCGGCGATATGTAACATGTGCGGCGTAATGGGCGCAATCGTCTTTTTTGCACGTATGCGCCCCTGACGCATGTTTGCATGCGTGTATGTATGGGTGGAGACTTTAAAAATGTTTTTTGTTTTTTATTCTTTTTTATGTGTAACTTTAAGGTTCTCTTTATGGAGACACCGATCGGCACCCCATACACGCGATCCACCGTCTCTAAAGCCGGCGGATGGCTTGTATGGTATCAGGCATCGCTGCCTGTTTTTAAAAAACGGCAATTTCGCGCGCGCCGAGGGGGCGTGTCTGAGCGGACGTCTAAAGAAGCCCGCTCAGATCTAGAGAGCTCCGGGCCGGCCGTTTTTCTACTACGGCCGGCCCGGAAGTGGTTAATGATAACTGTCACGAAGAAAGGTGGACTCTCTTCAAGGAGGACAAAGTAAGCAATAAAACCCTAATAGAGGTTCAAGCTAGGGATGCACAGATACCAGTGCTGACACTTGGCATTTTTACGAAAACTACCAGGGTTGCAGAAGTTGCAGCTGCAACTGGGCCCTGGCGCTCCATCACTGTCCTGAAATCATTAGTCTGTATTGTTTTAGAAAAATGTCACGTGACAATAAATAAAAATGTTGCATCCCGTATATAACAAATCATACATTAAAATAGGGATGCACAAATCCCAGGAGACCCGTAGCCAATGCTCCTTAAAAATGACAGCTGCCTCCTAAACTTTGAGTTTTTCTCTAGTCTAGCCTTGGAGCTGGAGAAGTATCAGTAGTTGTACTTGTACCGAGTATGAGACCTTGGTATCTGTGCATTCCTAGTTCAAACCTTTTCCCTCTCTATCCAAAACTAAAACTAAAAATGTTTAGCAATCGACATATCCTAAAATACACAGTGCCTTTTAAAATGTATTAGTTGCTTATTACTGACCTGTGTGCTCCAAGGTTAATGCAGCTTATTCCTAAATTATATCTAGACCTAATAAATCCAGGCTGTATCTCCAGGGCTTTTGAATAGGCCTCTACTGCTTCTTCACTTTTATCTCCATTTGCCAACGTTGCACCCAGGCGGTTCCAAAGTGAGTAGTCCTGCCAAGAAAGAGTCAATTTAAACATTGTTTTTAAATGATTATGTTCACAGTGAGCTAGCTATTAATATAACAGATGTCAATACGTTTTCTTTAGTAATGTGCAAGTTAATTATTTTGTCTCTAATCACATCTGATGACATTTATTTCTACAGTGTTTAGCACTGGTCTAATTGTCATGCAAACGTATAAATATAATATGAACTATAGCAATATAGCATAAAGACAGTAAAGCCTAGTTGATGTCCCACGCCTTTTTATTTCCTTATCATTTTTGACTGAATGCTGCTTGCAAATGTCTTAAAATACCCTATTCTCTCAGTGAAAATGCTGTACTCGCCCTCCAGTGCTCTGTGCTGGTATAGATGAGTAACTGTCACATCCCTCAGCACAAGTGTTGTTACAAAGGCTTGTATTGCATAGGAAAAGAGGGGGCATGTCTGACAAGCTTTATTACTGATGCTTATAGCTGAATGTGCTGGGTCAAGCTCTGGTGGCTACTGGACTGCACATTCATATTTAGACTCTCTGCACAACTGCACTAACAGGAAAGTGGAGATAGTTTATGAAAATGTAGGTTTTTATTACATTGTCTTTATGACTGCATATCTATTTCTATTGCTTTAGTAGAACATTAAAGGAATTTACACATCCCTACCACACTGCCCAGGCAAGTTAATCACCCTACTATTTATTTTCTGGTTACCTACTTTATGGTTCAAAGTTACTGTTTCCTGGATCACCTTGCTGTTATCTGGCGTAAGTGATCCTGTTAACAAGCTGGAGATGGAAAGGTGACAAACGAACCTGTATCGCCAAACAAGGAACTATCTAGCAGTCCAAATGGTAAACACACTTAAATTGAACTGTTTGTTTTTTAAAAATATATATATAAAATACTAAAGCTGTGGCTCCTAGACGCGAATGGCATTCGGTAGCTCCTGAATGCAATTGGAAATCCGGAAACCGAATGCCATTCGGGTCTGGGATCCATATACATATATTACTAAAGCTGAGGCTCCTAGACCCAACCAGCATTCGGGAGCACCCGAATGCAATTCAGAAATTCATATCCCGAATACCATTGGGGTCTTGGAGATTCAGAATAGCATTATTATCTGTATATGGTTTTCTGTTTTACTCGCAACGAATATTCGTTAACTCATCCAAAACTAACAAAAATTCAGATTTCGTCCGATTCTGAAACATGAACCGAATTGAATTTCGGATCCGAATCCCGTAAATAACGAAATATCTGAACCGAACTAAATTTTTCCGCAGCTTACATGTCTAAAGGTCATTATGTCAAGAAAGGACAAGGGCAAGGAGCTACTTCTAGCCATATATACCCTTTACACCTCTTAATCCTTTAGTTTTATTAATTTGTGCACTTGCTAAATATTTAATATTAGTTCAGTTATTCCTTTTTTTTTATATATACATGGGGCACATGTAAGGAAAGAAGAGGTGAAGTAAGTGTTTAGCAATTCTTAAGCTTTGTGAACTTACATCAGGTCGGACCATTAAGGCAGAGTTGAAAGCATCTACAGCTCGTTCAAACTCCCCACTTAGGTTAAACAAAACTCCGAGTCCAGTCTGCAAGTCTGGGTCTATAAGGTCCCCATTCTGATGTGCTGCCTCCAGATACAAATCCTTTACCTCCTCCAAAGAAGCACTGAAAGTATAACAATTCAAATTAAGGAAATCAACCGATACAACACAGGAGATTGTAGTCACACGGATCTGCATATGATTTAGTTTACCTTATTCCTTTGCCATAGTTTATCTACTGTTGCTGTTGTATATCATGGCTGAGTAGTAAGAAGCTGCATTATTCTGAAAATATATCTAACAACTGTTGCTGTTGTCTGTAACTTACAATGTATTCCAATGGTGAAATCTAAAATAAATTGTACACATAGCCTAATTTATTTGTGCCTTCTTTAGGCACATACCACATGCCACGTGTGCCATTTCAAGACCATTCTCCTATTCTGTAATTCTTATTCTGCGTGTTTTAGGATCGTTCTAATCTAATGATCCCAAACAGTCTAGGATGCTCTAATTATTCCCTGTTGCTTTTATAAAAGCATGCTTCATTTTTGCTTTCACTTATCCCTAAACATTATCATCTTCTTTGAGAATGCACAGTAAGAAATACATACAAGAAATGGGCAAATTGAGTGTGTCTTGGTTTCCTCCATACTACTTACACAGCAGTGAAATAATCATTCCTATCATTATCCTGAGGAAAACTAATCTAACTAGTGCAAGACAACAATATATAATACATTTGCCTTTGCACACGTTTCCAGGACTCCATGGACAGGCTTTCCTTGTTTTTTTCGTTGTTGGAAAGACATTTAATAAGCCTTGTATGCAAAATTATTACATTTCTGTGCCCTTTGTGATTAAGCTGAACTAACCTCAGGAAATGAGCTACTGCTTATTAGCTTTTTAAAGCAAAAACTTAAAAAGCATTAAACACAACTGATTAGCAGGTGGCAAAAGTAGTTTAAGAGAATCAATGATTATAATGCTAGCATACAACTTAAAGCATTTCTAAACCAATATATCGCAGCTTCCCAGCGGTGGCTGTATTGGTTTCCTTTTTTTAAGCATTTTTTCTTTTATTGTCACCTTGTGAGCCTACCAGTAACACATTTCCTGTCCTAGGGTGACAACGCTGTCCCACTGGGGTTGATTGTAAATAGTAAATAGGCTGTTCACTTTGAAAGGGCATTATTTTTTGCAAGGGGATTTTCACTTAGCTTAGTGAATGTGGTGAAAAATTACTTTGCAAAGAATACCCAATCATGGCAAAGGAAAATAAAAGTACTGTATTTGGATGATAGAAGTCACCAGCGCTTAACCTCATCCACTAAGTTAAAGGGAAAGTTCCATTAAAACCTGTAAATTACCTTTCAGTGGACAGCCTATTTGCCTTTAATAAATCAACCCCACTGTATCTATGAAGGGGCAGCATTGTCATCCGAGGACATCCAATGTGTTAGGACTACAGGCCACTTTCTCCTTCTTCAAAACTTGTCAAAGTCACCTAAGGAGCTCCATGTTTAATGTATTAGTGCAGAGAATTTTCTCCTGAAGTCTTACTAGGCAATTATTGTCATTGGTTAGATTTTCTCCTATTTGATAAATATGGTTCTGACAGTAGTTTGGCATAAGTTCAAAGTCTTAGAAATTGATGTGTATATAGTGTCTAGAGTGAGAGGCTTCAGAAATTTCCTTGTGTCATAAGTGTGTCTATAAATCTATTGAATCTGTTTTTCCAACTTGACTTTTGCTGCTAGGGGTTTAAGTTCCTGAAATTATATGGACAGGTATAGCCCGACTGTGGTTTGAGTTAATTAAAAAAAAAACTGCTTTTAACGTGTGAGGTTCCTTAAAGTTGACCTTTACCCATATCTTTAAAATAACAGCAAACAAACCTTTAGAAATGTTTAGTAATAACAACTTACACACACATACTTCTAGATAATGGCCAATTTTATATTCTTTGCATAACATATTTATCTTTTCTTCCCCAGTCTTCTGACAGTGGCCATGCTTACTAAGGGCAGATTACTAGCTCTCCTTTTACTTCCTTGATTTCTGGCACATGTGACTAGACATGTGACTAGGACATGTGACCATGCACATCATCTCAGGGGAGGAAAATGCCTTTCACTGAGATCTCGGGAGATTACAGATGAGATTTCCCAGCAATGCTCTGCTGATGACAAGGCAATCCCAGTGTGCATTGCTTTGGCAAACTGAAGTCATTTTGCCCTTTCAAAGCAGGAAGTGAATGCACTGCAAGTGTAAGTATTTAAAAATCACTGCATTTTACACCTGAGATGTCTGTTATTATTAATCATCATACATAGAGGGATGCATTGGTAAAACTTGATTTTTGAGTGTAAAGGTCTTCTGTAAGGTTAGTTTAGACTTTTTGCCATATACAGTAATTGTAGTTTTAATTTTCCCTTTCTTCAGTGCCAAGGAAATGGCACAAACCTCCTCACCCCCCCCCAGGAAAGTATCATTTTATCTGTTGAAATCTCTAATTATATTATATTAGTACAGACAAAATCATCTGAGCTAACTTAATGTAAACATGTTAAAAAAACAGAAAGGGGACACAGCGGCATAGATATAGCAGTGCAGTGCTCTGTGTTCTAGGGCCAGTATTGTTGACACTTTAAAATTAGTTCTATCTGCTCATCTGTTTATAGAAGGTTAGACCAATGAGAAGTAATTTCTAACTTGCTTAGTAATATTAAACTCAATTTTGTTCATTGCTGTAGTAGCGAGCTACTGTTGCTATGTGGTCAATTTGGTCTCCTTAGCAATAAAATGTCTTTAACTTTACCTTTCACAAAATGGTTTTGACATTCTCCTGGTCAGTGCGGGAGATTCAGATTTTTTCACTAGATACTTATATCTGGGATTTTGCTTAATCCACATTTTCAGAGCCTCATATGCATCTTGTTGATGCCCTATATTGGTATAGCTGACAGCCAAGGCCATAAGTGCTTTTAAATTATTTGGTTGTAGCTGTAAGCACCTGGAAAGCAAAAATGAAACCACATATTAGTGTATTAAGCAACTGGGTGATTAGAGGCAATTATCTTTCAACCTTTAGGCCACACTAAAAAATATTTTGTTGCAGTGGTGTATACAGTGCTTGAGTTTTAAGCCTTCTTTTCTACCAGCAAAACATAAAATATGTGAATGCAAGCAAGAAACAGCAGAAAAACTTGCCTATCCCTGAAAGTCCCCTAAATTACTGTTACATACAATATGTGCATGCAAGCAAGAAACAGCAGAAAAGCTTGCTAGTCCCGGAAAGTCCCCTAAATTACTGTTGACTATCAAATACAGACTATATTTTGAGTTTATTTTCAAAGATATAACACAAAAGTAAGAAGCATGCTACTTTTCTTTTACTGCTTGTTAGGGAGACCCTGAAACACACCACAATGCTTCCTGGAGAAAACCCATCGCAAACTTCAGACTCACAAAATGTGATTGTGGTGGATGTGCTAGAGTCTCACTCTTTACAGATGTATCACCCACATACATTTGCAATCTATTGACATAAAAATTATTGTTTGTGCAGTACTTGTTCTTCGCTGTCTCACTCTACTTTTCAGAATCAAACAGAACAAACAGAATCAAAATCATGAGGAGTTTTTTTCTGAAAAGCCTGTCTATTTTTACCGCCAAAGGTCTCCTACCATGGTGACAAAAGACGCCATCTTGCTGGGTTTGTCAGTGGCAAAAAGTGAGGCTACAGAAAAAAACTATGTTCATCTGTTATGTTCATGTTTATATCAATTTATGGAGTCATGCAATTTAAACCTTTATCATTCATGCTGGTATGGTCATAGTAGTGAGGCAGTAAAATAAATCTGCTTGTAAATTGTGAGGATGATGATAAAAAGGAGTTATGAAAGGGGATGTTGACCACAGTGACATAATGGCAAAAAGACCACCCTGTGCCCAGAGCGTGTGCAGCGTTAGTACCGGGACTGCTGTTCCTCCCTCTTGTTTTCAGGGTATGTTGGCCAATCAATTAAGGGTCATTGACAGGCAGTGTGACTGTATTAACTTTGCAATGTAGCAAATGCAAAGGCCTTAACATCAAGGTGTTCTGGTTGTAGGAATAGATGGATCTAAGTAGTAACCTGTTGAATGGTAATTATGGGTCAATGTGTCAAAGAAAAGGGACTTTTACTCTCAAGCAATTTTCTGCCTGTGTAATTGTAAGGGCAGTGTAATGAAAATCCTTGGATAATATTGCAAAGGCTAGTCCTACAATGCAGGTTTCCTTATTGCACTGTGAGTCAGTGCATTGGTCACCAAAACCATAGATATATTACAGCAAGTCTTTTCTCTGTTTTTACTTATTATCACATCAGCCAGCTTCAGTTTCCAAAACATAAGGTCGGTTAATAGCTAATTGCTCCAAAGGTTCTCAAACAATTCCTATTTTCTTCTATTTTTACCTTCCTGGTTGTTGGCCTTTTGTCTTGGTCCAACATGCTAATGGTGTTGGCCCAATGACTTCCTAATGAAATAAATAAATAATTACCCATAGAGTGGCAACTATGGCATGTACGTCTCCTCTATGAACCACCAACCCCCCTTAAAAACCCTCTAGTTACTATTACAAACCTCTATGGGGTTAATTCATTCTGGATCTTTCCTGTGAAATGCCAAATGGCATATGGGTTGGTATGAACGCTGAACCCAAAATAAACAGCTACAATATGTTGAAATATATATGCATATGAGAACTGTTAATTGGCCAAAGGAGTTTTAGTTTTGCCAACCCAGTGATGATTGATAATAGTAGATGATAGTTTTGCCAACCAAGTTTGCACAGCCAGTTGCCTTTAAAATAATATAGCTTGCTTATCTCCCTGCCCCCAACCTGTGAATGGATAAAGAAGGATCAGCAGCTGACTGATAAGGACATTTCTTTCTTCCTTGTCAGCACATATGGATGCAGCACACATGATTGGATCCTAGTGTTGCCCCTTCCTCTCGTTGTCTGAGTTATATTGCAAAGGGGATTACAGAAAATTACATCAAGACACTTCTCTAGTAAATACTTTTGATGATTTATAATGAAAATATATCTGCATTAATTAGTGTTTTTAATATTTCCTGGGGTTCACCTGTATCATAGCAGAAAACTCGTACACTCACAGTCCACTTGCTATTGTGATACCAACCTAAATGCCAGGAGGCCAGGATTAGTATTCAGAATACATAGTCAGCTTAATCTAAAATATATAGTCCACTAATAGCTGCCAGTTGGCCAGTTACACTGTTTTCTAATTAAATAATTCACAAATAATTAACCAAAGTGTGTAAAATAAATTTGGTCAATGTTTAAGTTACTTTATGGTATGCATTTATTTTAGAAACTATCCAACCAATGTCAATAGGTATATGGGTTGGTATTGACATGAAAGGCATCCTGTTTCTTTGCTGGCAACTAGTTATGCTGATACCAGCCTGTATACCAGGAGTGCCGGACTGTTATTCCACACCAGGCAATCCTGTCGAGAAAACATGCAAACACTGCCAATACATTTAAAAAAAGGGACCAGTCACTAATATGATATAAAAAATATATGTCCATTCTAATGTAATATGTTTTGCATTTTGGCTATGTCAAAAAAAAATAATTATATGTGTATGTATGTATGTATGTAATATATATATACAGACAAGGGTCTGGTATGAATTGGGGGGAACCTCAGGCTTTTTTTTTTTCATCTGCAGACTGTAAAAAAAAAAAAGTCATTTTTGTTCCCACTTATGTAATTTTGATGCAATGAAATTAGTTATTGGACAAATTCTGTTGCAGCAAAATGATTTTTTTTTTTTTTAGTCTGCAGAAGATGAAAAAAAAAAGATAAACTAATTTTTTTTGTTTTGTTTCAAAACGAAACTAAACTAAACAAATTTTTTGCTGGTGCACATGTCTAGTTACTTACACTTAAAAAAATACATTTGACAATGTATTAATGAATACAAAGCTGCATTAGCTGAGCGAGGTTTATTTTGTATGTCCTATTTTAACTTTACAATAAAGATTTGTATTTTATTTTAGTGGCCTCAGTGAGTGTATGCTGGTTGCTTTAGCTTTTTTTATTCCGTGTGTGTTGTAAAATATTTTTTTTCTTTGTATTGTAAAATGATAAAATTCCCTTTTTATCTCTCAGCTATGGGATCGGGTTAGTTAAAATGTTCAATGCATGCTGTTTTTGAGGTTCTTTTGATGGTGAGAGGGATGTGCTCAGGAGACAACACCACATGTAATTTTTTAGTTTTGGTCATCCGCCTTGTGACCGCAAGCCCCTAAAACCTTTTTATAAAGCTGCAATATTTTGTGTCTTTTACATCTGCCTGGAGTTCAGCTTTAACCACTTAAGTACCAGTCTGTGGTAGACCGATTGCTAGATTGCTTAACTATTTCCTAACCGGTTAATCAGTTACACAGCGACCAGTATAAAGGTTAGTGAAATAGCAGGGTAGTAGGGAAGCTACAATAGGCTTGTAGAGTACTGCTTATAGTTACTGGGGCAACCAGCACGGGAAAAATGGAAAGAGGGAAAGGTGTTATTTCTGGTGCAATTGTCGAGGCAGCTGTGAGAAAACATTGTATTCTTTGTATTGTATGTCGTGGTACGGTACGGCTAACCCTGTTGGGGGTTTAGCCGCAAAAACAGAATAAAAGTTTGTTTAAAAAAAGTCCCAGTCTGTAATACCCCATCATTACCAGGCCATTTTTGGTTTTTAGTGCTGTGATAGTTTGGCTAACAATTACTTGTTCACACAAAACACTGTACCCAAAATCATTTTGGAGCATTTTTTCATACAGAGCTTTCTTTTGGTGGTATTTAACCGATTGCGGACCGGCCACTGTATTAAAACGGCCGGTCCAAAGCCTCATTGTTACGGGAGGACATACCCAAATGTCCTCTCATGAACGCAAGTGAGCATGTGGCTGTGGCCACTACTCCTACTGTCTTTAGACAGCAGAGAACAGCAGCTTGGCAGCACACAGCTGGCTCTGTGTGCTGAGATCACTGTGATTGCTTATCACAGTGATCACATGGCAATGTTTTCATTGCCAAGCCCCCCCCCCCCCCGTTCTCTCTACATCAGAGACAAAGAAGAGTAAAGGAAGTAATGAATGACTGAGTCATCCATCCATTGGTTCATAGAGAACCAAGTTGCAGCAGCAGCAAAAAACTTAAAATTTAAATTTTAACCATTTCTCCCTCCTCTTCCATATATTCTAGCCCCATTCTATCTCTACTCTGATGTGTGTATTAACCCCTTTATCTTTCTTATCCTGCACATCTGTACATTAACTCCTTCATCTCCATCCTCCCACTGTATGTGACCTGTACCTTAACCCCTTACATCCGCCTCCCTCTGTTTATTACCTATACATTTATTGTATCTTGTGCACTATTACCAAGCTTCATTCCCATAAAATTACTGCAAAAAATCAGATCACCTTGGAGTGTCTACTTTCCAAAAAGGGGTCATTTGGGGTATTTTCATACTGTCCTGATATTTTTATTTAGTATTATTTATAAACGAAAGAAAGAGAAAACAGGCTTTTTCTTAAAAATGTTTGGTCTTTTTTACTTTACAAGCTAAATATTTATACCACTAATTATACATACCACTGAACGAATGCTCTATTTGACCCCAAAAAATTATATCAAATTAATTTTGTTACAGTGTTGTATGACAGGAAATTTTCAGCCAAACTTGCACAGCCCTCAAAACTGAAAAATAGCCTGGTAATGAAGAGGGTGTAACATTCTGCTTTTGTAATGTTTTATTTTTTTGCTATATAAAGGACCAAACTGTATACTGTAATTTACATACACAGCTGCTTTTCCAGCTCTGTACTGATATTAAACGCTCAGATGTGCGTACAGCCACTGCATCTGTCAGTCTAACAGTGATTTGTACAGACTGCTGCCCGCAGCTGTACGCAAACACCTGTAACTTCTGGGCGCAGAACTCATACTGCTTTGTATGCTGTTCAGCCCTTTATGACCATATGAATTAGGCCTTAGGGGCTGCGTGAGTTTAGGGTTAAGTAATAGAATAGGCTAAAGTTTGAGGTTAAGGTTAGAGATTGTATGGATTTGGATAAATGCCTTAATACATGTTTTTGGCTTCTAAAAAACTAACAGCCATATAAGCCAACCTGGTGGGTCACATTTCTAATTGTGTTACAAGTGGGCTTTTTCTAGGTATAGGTAATCTAGACACTCAAAAACATTACCACTGGCTAGAGAGTGCCATAGCCTACATCAGTCTGTTACATACATACATGATCAAACTATAAACTAAACGCATATGTCCTTGGTGTTGTAACAGCATTATGCTGCACTGCCTGTAAGCCCTTAGCTATTTTCACTACCTTAAACATCTCATGCCAAAATAACACCTGAATAGCTGCTCAGTTTAGGATATCAGCACTAGTGAATAACCACAGGAGCTCTTCCTAGAACAGAACCTACACTGAAAAGGGACCCCATTTGTGGGTGGTTGTTTGAAGGGACAGTTACTCAGAAGATCTTATGCATGACTAAGGGAAAAAGTCCTAGGGGATATATGTGTGAAGGTGCAACTTCTAGCGCTGGATGTACAATGGAGCAGAGTGTCAAGGGGTGCATGCATGAAAGTGCAACTTAGGTGGGCACATATAGCAGGAGGCAGAGTTCCTGGGACATATATGACACTGGTGGTGCATGTATTAGTGGAAGCGCTACTGTATGTTTGGAATGGTAAAGTATCTGTGGGCTTATGAATGAGGTGCTGCTACTGAGGTTACAACAATGCTTCTGATAGTATAATGATACTACTACTGTTGCTATAATAGTACTATTGATGTCATTGCAGTGCTGCTTTCATTGTTATAACTGTACTTTGACGTTATATCAGTTATAATAGTACTGTCACTGATAAATCATTATTCATTATTATATGCCTTACAATGAGGATGTTTTAATTAGATCTATGCTTGCAGGCTCACAGTACACGTGTCACATAGATTTGCTCTGTTTCTGTCAGCGCCTGGCTGGAAAGCTGCATGCATGTCTCTGAGTGACACCAATGCTGAGATAGCAATGGAATAAAGGTGTCTTGTGGAGCTTTGCATTATGTTGGATGGTGGTGATGGTGTTATGTTTGGGGATGTGTCATGTTTGGTAAAAAAGCTTTGGTGGACACAGTATGGGTCTAGCCTGTTGTCAGAAACAGCCATGGTTAGTCATTAAAAAAGTTGAATATTTTCTCATGTGATATTTGTAAATCCCTAACTTACACTGTTGTGATTATATGTAGTATTTTGCCAAAATAATTATATAATAATGATATAATATATATATGTATATGTATATACAGGGCTTGAAAAATTTGATAGTGTCTCACCAGTCAGTCAAAAATTTCACATGACCGGACTATAGCCTTGCAATTTATGTTAAAAAAGTTTGGGGACAGATAGAGCTTTCTTTTGGAGGTATATAATTTTTTATATATATAATAAAAAAAGTACTATAAATGTAAAAAAAAAAAAACAAGTTTCCCTACGTTATGTTATAAAACAAACATCGAGATGTATGTGTTCGCTCACTTCGCGATCTACTGCGCCGACCTGTGACAGTCTCTTTGTCACAGGTCGGCTAGAACTATGAGGTGAGTGAAAAGCACTCACCTCATAGTTCTCCTTTAGGCTGGGTTCCCACCTAGGCGTTCAAAATATGCGTGTATGACGCGCGTTTTACGGTGCATGTTTTAACCGCGATTTGCAGCCCACAAAAGGTGCGTCAAACGGGCGTTTACGAGGGCTATCCGGTTGTATCCTAATGGATACGCGCGGAAATACGCCCCAAAGAAGCTCCTGTACTTCTTTGTGCATAGGGCGTTTTTCAGCACATTCCGACACGCTGAAATACGCCCAAGTGAGAACCATGCCCATAGGAAATAATGGGATTTCACTTGCAGGGCATTTTACAGCGCGTCGATCAGCGCTGTAAAACGCCCTGGTGTGAACCCGGCCTTAATGGCTCTAAAATTATTGCTCTCACTCCGTTTGCGGCGATATGCAACATGTGCGGCACGTAGGCGCACCTGACGCATATATGCGTGTGTATGTGGGGGGCCCGGACTTAAAAAAATGTTACAAAAAATAAATGTTATGCTTCTTTATTTTTTTTATGAATCTTTCATTTTTGTATTACTTTTTTTTTTAACATATAACTTTATTGCTATTACATGGTGGGCTAAGAAGCCCCCTATGGGATAGCCAATTTACATGACAGGTCCTCTTTATGGAGACATCAGGGTCTCCAAGACCCCTAATGTCACCTAGGGACCTCCAGAGAAGCTGATGAAGCAGATATCGGCTTCATCAGCTTCTCTAGCTGGAGAGTGCCGGCCGGCCGGGAGCTTTACAGTCAAGCTCGATCGCTTGTATCAGAAGCTGTCACTGCCGTTGCCGGCACGGCTCTGTGACAGGAGATCAAAGGGAGTTCAGTACACGAACTCCCTTTGATCTCCTCTCAGTCCCCGAATGCATGAGCTGCATACCAGCTGCTGTGTCTCTCTCTTTTTAACCAGCAGTGATGCTGCCAGAAGGCAAAATGTATTAGTTGTGGTTTGTCTTCAGAAATAGCAAAATCATTGCCTATTGCTTTATTTTTGTATGGATTTTATTTGTATTTCCATGTGCAGTATCACCCACACAGCTGCCCGTGCCTCTCCCTCCACAGTTATGCTTTCAACAGCTAGATGAGAGCAATGATAGGGGAGTTCTCTCCTTTGAGTGTTCACACAGCTGTTTGTCTCTCTCAGTCCATATCACAGAGACACTGACAGCAGCTAAACTTCGATTGCCTCTTGTCTGGGATTAACCCAGATGGTCTGGGTTTTGAGTCCTGGATGTGCTGTGTCTGGGTTTCAACCCAGGGGAGTTTCCTGTTCCCCTGTCACTGCCCACATAGCAGTCCATGTCTCTCTGTCTAGTCAAAAATTCTGCCAAGCAGCTACATGAGAACAATTACATGGTAGTTTTCTGCTCCCTGTCACCTCCCAGACACCCTTCAACTTCATCCAACACTGTCATGTACCTGTCCATACACTATGTGTGTAAAAGCTGAGGACTCTTGGAATATGTACCATGTAGACACCTCTCTTTAGCAACTGCAGATAGTAGATCCTCTCACATGATTAAAACACACGTTTCTCACGACAGAAGCAAGGTAAACCCAAAATTCTTAATGGGAAAGGGCAGCACAGGGGATGAGAGAGCTTTGTAGGAAAACATATCTCAAGAGAGATCTTCCAGGAGATCAGCTTTAATTTCATGCAATGAATTCTTAGAAAATATACAATGATATTCATTTTAATTACCTCTGTAGAGAGACAATAGCAGCCTGTTCATTTTCATTCTCTGCTTGGGTGATACCGAGGTACTGCCAAGCCTGGCAAGGAAGGAGATAGAAGGAAGAAGAACAGAGAAGGAAATATGGATATGAAAAAATGTTAACATCAATATTCCTAAAAGAAAAAATATTTGGTACATTTAAGCAAAAATAAGATGTTTGTGAGAATGACTATAGTATGAAACTGACTGTTACGTCTGTGAGAATAAAAGATGTTTGAGATTAAGTAATCTTTCCATTTTTACTATCTCACAATCTAAACTACTGCAGATCCTTCTTGGAATTTCTATTGTCCAGATTAGCAGGGGTGATTTCAAGGATTCATTTGCTAATTGGCTTTTATACTCTAATCCATTCTGTAGCATCTAATTGAGCTTATGACGTTTGTCTTTTTTCTCTAATTATCATGCAAGGTTTTAACTTTAAGGTTTTGAAAAGAAAGGTATAGCTTCATTTATACACCTTTATTTAACGTGGCAAAACAGATTTTGCATTGTACATTAACCCATAACAGTCAACCTGTACACTCAGTTTTTATTGTCGCTTTTTATTGTCGCAACTCTTGCAAATAGCTGTGAAATCTGATCAGTTGCAATGGACAATTACACGTTACTACCTCTTACATCTTTCATTAATTAAAATTGATCTTACCTAGAATATTAGATAAACAGGAAGCTCAATAACTTTACCTCAGCATCATTGGGATCTTGTAAAATGGCAGCTTCCAGGTATAAAATAGTCAAAGGCAAATCCCCTTCTTTGAACTTCTTCATACCTTCTTCAAAGGCAGCAGAACATTCCCTAAATGGATTTTCCATGTGGAAATAATAACCCTGAAACAAAATAGTGTCAGATATCATGTGTATACTTTATTAAAATAGTACAGTTTTTATGGTTTATAATGAGGGGCATATTTATAAAGCAGACAATGTGACTTTCACCAAACATCCGCTGGGGTGAAAAAAAACCCACTGTCATTTAAAACCCATGCGACAGGAAGATTTACCTGCAGTAAATGCGTGTTAAATGTCAGATTCACTGCTTTATACAAATACCCCTAAATGTTTTGGCATCTGAAATAGTAAAAAAAAATTTAAAAAATTAACTCTGCGTTTAGCACTGCAAACAGTGTAGGACCTCAACAATATAGACATTATTTCTGTTAAATTTTTTTTTTCAATAATTAACATTAGTTGCCCTGTGCCTCATGTTTGTATAAAGTGTGCTATAGACAGCTTTAGCTTGTGTAATATACTTAAATTCATCCAGGAAAACTAGGAAACAAGATGTTGATTGCACAAACTATATTAATGGAAATTTTGTTGCATATACAAGCCTTATACATGACCATAATGACTACACTAGCCGTATACATGAATGACCATAATGATGACTACACAAGTGATACGCTTGACAGTAATGATAACTGAACAAGCCATGTACATGACTCTAATGATGAGCCCCCAAGCCCTTTATAGATCTAATGATGAGTGCAGAAATCATATACATGACCATAACGATGACTGTTCAAGCCAAATACATGAATCTAATGATGACTGCATGGACCATTTATCTGACCCTAATAATGACCGTGTGGCTCACTTAGCTGATCTTAATGATGACTCCGCAAGCCATTTATATGACATGAATGGCAGCTGCACAAGCTATTTACATGTCCTTAATAATAACTCAGGACTGGCCTAGTGGTGACGTTCTACCAAGCCATAACAGCATGGGATTAGTAAAGCCACAGTAGTGCCAAGTTCCTGAAACCAAAACAGCGATAGGTGTAATGTTGAAAATGATGATTGATTTAATGTTACATATTCCACACTAATATTGTGACACAATACTAGCAGAATCAATTGTTGAATGTTACCAGTAGACATGTAAACCTGCTAAAAATGTGTTTAATTTCAGATCCATTTGGATTTTTTTTTTCCTTTTCATAATATTCAGATCCACTTGTTATTTAAATTGGAACAAATCAACATTTTATTTTTTCGATTCGGACATTCCGATGGTTTCTAAAACATGTATTTTATTTAATTTACTTAATGAAAAAAAAACAGCGTCAGGTTCCCCCCCCAATTCATTCCAGGCCCCTTAGGTTTGATCAGAATTTTATGGGTGGACTCCATGCCAAGAAAACAAACAAAAAAATCCCTTACCAGGCCCTTGATCCGAGCAGTGGCCCGGCAGAGCAGGAAAGGGGGGGGGGGGCGAGGGTGCGGTAGAGAAAGTTCTCTCTCAGGTCCGCTCCCCTGCGGATTCTCTGCTAAGGTGCTTATGGTTGAACTTAAGGCAGATGGATACATCTCTGTAATCATTAAATATAATTAAATGTATTATTTAATGCAAGCAGTGTGAGTACATGAATTTTACTAGGTATTTGCCCTTTCAGCCAACTGTACAGCAAAACATACAAAGGATGAGGGAGAAGCAGCACAAAAAGCCAATCATGTGTACTACAGTGTAAGGAGCATGCAAATAGGAGGAAAGCAGATGAATGATCTTATCAATGCGCTGCTTCTCTCTTCACTGTCCAGTCACATGGTGGGGTAGGATGGGGGAGTAAACCCATAAGTTAAAGTGAATCTGCTGCTAAAAAGATTAGTTCCCCTTGCCTCTTAGACAGGGTTTTCTGTGGGGCAAAACTTTATAAATATCAGGAGAAAATAGATATACATACAAATCCTATCCAGGGGCTCCCCAGCAGACTTTCAAGCTAGCAAGCAAAAAAAACCAAGAAACCTGAGCTAATCTTTTTCAACTACCAAGGTTAGAAAAGAGGTTTTAGTGGCATACAAATACATGTGGAAGCCACACTGCCACATCAAAGCACCTCTGAAAAGTGTGGTCCCTAACTCTAAACTATCCAAATTTCCAATATGGACATATATAACAATGTACAAACAGAGAGCAGGCTCACCTGGCAACTGAAGACTACCAGTGTGCATCTGCACCAAATCCAATAAAGCAACAATGGCAGCTGCTTTTTTGTATATTGCCCTTTGGCTTTTTGCTGGTTTCAAACAGATCAGAGCAACTGCCGTTGTTGCTGAAACGACCATGATAACTGAACAGCCCATTAACAAGGTTATTGGTGACTCTGTTTACATCCAGTAGAGGACTGCTAGGGATGACTACATAGGTCTCTCTTCCACTAGAAAAAACAAGATAGCTCATTTTTTAACCTTATATAGCTCATGTGCCCATGTCAAAGGTCAACAATCTTTTTTTTTTTTTTTTACTATACAGCTGCATAAATGTAAATAAGGAGCTGGTGGAAGAAAATATTTTACTGATGGCTCCTTTTAAGAAATTCTTCGGTTTCACTTGTATGCTTCATTCTAGAGCATGCAATTCATCCAAAATTGAATTATGACGAAGAGTAAATTGTTTTGCTCATTTTCCATTTCCAGTAACCCACATACTGCAGTTCAGGCACTTTAATCAACAATCAAGCAAAAGCTGTCAGCATGCTGTAGTGTTTGGCATTTGCTGTACTGTGAAAAGATTCTAGGTCAGAGAATGATATGTGATGACAACACCAGCAGTATGTATTTTATGTAATAAATAACAGAATAGAATAATGTACGTATAATGTACGTACTGTTTCTTTAGAAGATGCTCCAGACTGGTTTGAACAGTTTGAATTGTCAGAGATCCAGTTCCGTCTTGCCATTTCTTCCCATTCAGCTTGCATCTTATCCCAAAATTCAGTGTCTGACTAGGAAATATATAATTGAGTCTTTAGCTTATATTACAACAAATATATGATTACATTTATTTCGTCATGCTGTTTCTTCTGGTATGGACTTGCACAGTTATAACTTTGTGAATTCTGTAGACATGTGCACTGCCAAAAAATTCGTTTAGTTTCGTTTCGTTTTAAATTCGGATTTGTGTTATTTCGTTTTTCGGGATTCGGGTGTAAAAGTCAATTAAATTCTGTATGATATAAAAAACTAAACACAAGTGCATTAAATATTGTTGTGCATATGTTAGTTTCCCTCTTCAAATTGGATCACATGCATAAACACTGAAAATGTCTGATTAATACTAATCTACTATTAACAAATAAATGGGGTTGTGCATATGGTAGAAACCTCTATGCTGTCTCTCTGACTG